AAAAAAAAAAAAAAAAAAGGTCAGGCGCGGTAGCTCATGCCTGTAATACCAGCATTTTGGGAGGCCAAGGCTGGCGAATCACCTGAGGTCGGGAGTTCGAGACCAGCCTGACTGACATGGAGAAACTCCATCTCTATTAAAAATACAAAATTAGCTGGGCATGGCAGTGCATGCCTGTAGTTCGAGCTACTTGGGAGGCTGAGTCAGGAGAATCGCTTGAACCCGGAAAGCAGAGGTTGTGGTGAGCTGAGATCATGCCATTGCGCTCCAGCCTGGGCAACAAGAGTGAAACTCCATCTCAAAAAAAAAAGACCCAAAAAACAAAGGACCCAAAGAGCCTAGGCAATCTTTTTTTTTTTTTTTGAGATGGGAGTCTTTCTTTGTCACCAGGCTAGAGTGCAGGGGCACAATCTCAGCTCTCGGGTCCAAGCAATTCTCCTGCTTCAGCCTCCCAAGTAGCTGAGACTATAGGCGTGCACCACCATGTCCAGCTAATTTTTGTATTTTTAGTGGAGACAGGGTTTCACCATGTTGGCCAGGAAGGTCTCAATCCCTTGACCTCGTGATCTGCCAGCCTTGGCCTCCCAAAGTGCTGGGGTTACAGGTATAAGCCACTGCACCTGGCTTAAAGCAATTTTGAGAAAAAAGAACAAAGCTGGGAGTATCACATATTCTGATTTCAAGCTATATTACAAAGCTGCAGTAATCAGAATGGTATGGTACCAGCGTAAAATCACACATATAGACCAATGTAAGAGAATAGGCCAGAAATGAGTCCATGTATATATGATCAAGTAATTTTGATGAGAGCACCAAAAATATTCAACGGGGAAAAGATAGTATCTTTAATAAATTGTTTTGGGAAGACTGATTATTGGACCCTTATCTTATACTGCTCACAAAAATTAACTCCAAATGGATTAAAGGCTTTTACCTGAAACTATAAAACTACTAGAAGAAAATGTAAAAAAAAGTATTCTTGACATTGTTCTTCCTAAAGTCAGGAATCAGACAAGAGTGCTACTTCTATTTAAGACAGTACTGAAAGTCCTAGCTGGCGCAGAAAAAGAAATATTTTTGGAAATGGCACCAAAGTCATTTTTTGGAAATGGCATCAAAAGCAAAACCAAACAAGTGGGATTCCATCAAATGTAAAAGCTTCTGCAAAGCAAAGGAAACAATCAACAAAATGAAAAGGCAATTTATGGAATGGGAGAAAATATTTGCAAACCACGTTTCTGATAAGGGGTTAATATCCAAAATATGTAAGGAATTCATATAACTCAACAGCAATAAATAAATAATAGGCAAAGGACCTCAGTAAATAAATAAACAGCAATAAATAAATAAATAATAGGTAAAGGACCTCAATAGACATTTTCCCAAAGAAGACGTACAAATGGCTAATAGGTACATGAAAAGGTGTTCACTGCTATCATCAGGGAAATGCAAATCAAAACCACAATGAGATAATCACCTCACACCTGTTAGAATGGCTATTACCAAAAAGACAAGTGATAACAAGTATTGGCCAGAATATGAAGAAAAGGGAACCCCTGTGCACTGTTAGTGAGAATGTAAATTGGTACAGCCATGTGGAAAACAGTAGGGAGGTTCCTCCAAAAATTAAATATATAATTACCATATGATCCAGCAATCCTACTTCTAGGTATATATTGAAGGAAATAAAATCAGAATCTCAAAGAGATGTCTGCAATCCCATGTTCATTGCAGCAGTATTAATAACAGCTAAGACTTAGAAACAATGTAAGTGTCCACTGACAAAGGAATGGATAAAGAAAATGTGGCATATGTACACAATGAAATATTATCCATCCATAAAAGAAGGAAATTCTGCCATTTGTAACAACATGGATAAAAATGGAAGGCTTACACTAAGTGAAATAAGTTAGAAAGAGACAGGCAAATGTTGTCTCATCTCACTTATGCATGGAATCTAAAAAAGTTGAACTCATATAAACAGAGAATAGTTATTGGGGGCTGAAGGCTGAGGAAATGGGGAGAAGGTGGTCAAAGGGTACAAACTTTCAGTTATAAGGTGACTAAGCTCTGGGGATCTAATGTACAGAGTGGTGATTCTAGTTAACAATACTGTATTTTATAACTGAATTTGCTAAGACAGTAGATCTTACATGTTCTCAATACACACATAAAAATGGTAACTATCTGAGGTGATAGATATGCCAACTCATTTGATTGTGATAATCATTTCACAATATATAGATATATCACATTTAAAAAAGAAAAGGCATGGAGGAAACTTGAATGCATACTGCTTAGTGAAAGAAGCCAATTTGAAATGGCGATATATCATGTAATGCCAACAACAGGATACTTTCAAAAGGCAAAACTATGAAGACAGCAAAAAGAGTAGTGGTTGCTAGGAGTGTGAGAGGAGGATAGACAGAGGGATGAAGAACCGGAGCACAGGAGATTGAAACTGCTCTGTATGATACTGTAATGGTGGATATATGACATTATACCTTCGGCAAAACCTGCAGAGTCTACAACAGGAAGTGAACCCTAAACTACAGACCTTTGTTAATAATGATGGATTCATTTGAGTTCTCCATTTGTGACACACATACCACACTAATGCAAGGTGTTAATAATGGGGGAACTATCTGCTCAGTTATCTGTAAACTTAAACTGCTCTTTAAAAAAGCCCATTAATTTTTTAAAAATCAAAAGAAATGTAAAAACAGTCAGTGAGGTTGGTTGTCAAACTGGTCAGTGACAATGTAACATTTAATGAGAGCAATGTGGGTTCTCAAAAACAATCTAATCCCATCGTAACTAGAACTGTCTGCTATGAGACCATATCAGAAGCAGTACAGTCTCCATGCACTTAGTAATAACAGTTGAAATAAAGTCTACACCGATGTATATTGTGGGCAGATTTATAGATAAGGAAGATAATGCTACTTATTGTTATGTGAGTACTTGCTTTTTTGTTTTTTGTTTGAGACAGTCTGTTTGAGACAGCCTTACTCTGTTGCCCATGCTGGAGTGCAGTGGTGTGATCTCAGCTCATCACAACCTCTGCCTCCTGGGTTCAAGTGATTCCCGTCTCTCGGCCTCTGGAGTAGCTGGGATTACCGGCATGCGCCACCACACCGGGCTAATTTTTGTACTTTTAGTAGAAATGGGGTTTCACCATGTTGGCCAGGCTGGTCTTGAACTCCTGACCTCAGGTGATCCATCCTCTTAGGCCTCCCAATATATGAATACTTTAAAACCAATGATCTTGTTTCATTTTCACAAAACTTATTCTTCCTGAACTTTAAGTCTCATTAAGAGTTTATCCAACTGGTAAAAGTAGACTAGAATACCTGTTTTAAAAAATGAAGATAAAAATAATTATGTCACTCCAACAGTAGCCAGAGTTTTTACAGAGGAAACAGACTGCCCTGCATTTTGTTATTTATGCTTCTTACCCTTTTCATTGTACACATCTGTGCAGGTCAGCTCCTTGCTTCATATTATTCAAATAGTGCTCAGAAGCTTTTGATCTGACCTTTCCGAGGCCAGCAGGAGGAGACCAGGGAGCTAAAGGAATTCCCAAATCCTAGGTTCTGTGTCTAGAATTCTTGCTTTGAATTTTATAAAACTACTATTCATACATCTGTGATAAGAAATTAAAATACAGCAAGATACTCACTATAAATAATGGTTTTAATCCTAGATAAGTTACAGTGAGGGGATCAGGTTTTTTCAATCTTCACTTTCTATAGAACACAGACTCAAAGAAAACATAGACACTGTCAAAGGCTAGAACTTAAGTTTTATGATATCTCATTCAGTGTTCTTTTCATAAAAACATGCAATCTTTATATGATCTAAATGCCTTACAGGTATCCTATCCTGAAGGTAAGGAGTGGGTGTGTCCTGTTATGGGTGACAATATATCCAAATCACTTATAACAGTACCTGATACGAAGTATACTCTAAGTGAGGGGTCAGTAAACGTCTGTAGAGCCAGACAGTAAACATTTTAGGCTTTGTGGGCCATAAGGTTTCTATTGTAACTAATCAAAGCTGCCTTGGCAGCATGAAAACAGTCATAAAAACGGGCATGACTGGGTTTCAAAATTTTACAGACACTGAATCTGAATTTTATATAATGTTCACATATCATGAAATAGTCTTCTGATTTTTTTCAACCATAAAAAAATGTAAAAATGGGTGTACAAAAACAGGCTGAGGGCTGGGCCTTTGGGGCATAGTTTTGCTTTATGTAACTAGTAGATATTATTATGATGTCTATAATATCTTCCTAGAAATTATTTTTAATGGCTGCTTCGAACAAGATTGTTTGGATGTTCTATAATTTACTTAGTCCCCCATGGTTGGAATTTAGGATATTCCCCATATTCATTATTATGAGCTGAGATTGCGCCATTGCACTCCAGCCTGTACAACAAGAGTGAAACTCTGTCTCAAAAATCAAAACAACAACAACAACAAAAAAGGCTGACAGAGCATCTAGAAAGAAACAGACTCTAAAGTAACCTTGAAAAGTAATCTTTTATGTTTATAGGAAAGTTCAGAGATATTAGAGAAGGAGCTTTATAAATACTACATATATATATATATATATATATATATATATATAGGCACACATACACACAAATATAAAACTTAGTCCCAAACACCATTTTAATATCTTTATATATAATTAACATTTAGTCCTCAAAACAATACTATGAGGTGCAGGTACCTCTGCAGGACCATCATCATCATCCCCATGTTCCAAAGAGGAAACTGAGGCACAGAAAGCCTAAGTAACTTCTCCAAGGTCGCACCGTAAACTGGTAGGAGAGGAAGGATTCAAACCCAGCTTGTGTGACATCAAGACCCATGCTCTTTCATGGCAGGCTGCACCCCCTCTTCACCAGAGACTTGCCCAGTGTGCACCTCCAGGTACTCTTTATAACGTACCTTCACACAATTGGTGGTGGTCTTTATTTTTTTTGGACGGCGTTTCGCTCTTGTTACCCAGGCTGGAGTGCAATGGCGCGATCTTGGCTCAGCACAACCTCCGCCTCCTGGGTTCAGGCAATTCTGCCTCAGCCTCCTGAGTAGCTGGGATTAGAAGCACGCGCCACCATGCCCAGCTAATTTTTTGTATTTTTAGTAGAGACGGGGTTTCACCATGTTGACCAGGTCTCGATTTCTTGACCTCGTGATCCACCCGCCTCGGCCTCCCAAAGTGCTGGGATTACAGGCTTGAGCCACCGCGCCCGGCCTGTTGGTGGTCTTTTTAATACTGAGATCACATTTCACATCCATGAATGACCTCATACTCTAATAATTGTAATAATAATACTCTAAATACTCTAATAATGGACCTCATACTCCAATTTTATCCCATAATGAGACATTTTTTGTTGGAAACTGGATACCTACCTAATCTTCCTCTTTTGTCCTACAAGACACATCCCCCCACCACCAACGGCAATTCTTCATTAACTTTCCCCGTTTTCTTACTCAAAATAGTTGTCCAGTAATCAGTAAAAGTTGATTGGAACATACTCTCATATTTTGTATCCAAACGTATGGTTCCCACATCTACATTCAAGTGATGCTTTGCCTACAGTGGAGGGCCCTGCACCGCCTGGGATTGCTAGTTTCGGGTTTAAGTACCCTTCTTTGGAAACAAAAACAGTGACACGTGTCAGAAGCCCCTCCCGCTCGGCCTCTTCTCCCTCCTCCTCCTCCGCAGCAGGAGGCCTGGCCCCAGCGTCCTGCACCCGGGCGGACCAAACGTTCCACCTCGCTCGCCAGACTCGGCCGTGAACTCGCGCGCTCTCCGGGTCATTCCCCGCTAGTGCCGAGTTATGGGCGAACCTCCCAAAAAGGAGAAATGCGAGTGGGTCGTCCAACTCTGAGGAGAAACGAGAATTCCCGTTCTCATTTCCTCTGATTTCTCCCCCTACCCAGGACCCTACTTCTCGAATACTCCCCGTGGGGAGGAACGACGAATGCCGCCGTTCCCACGAAGCCGCCCGCTTCCCACTCATGCCCAAACAAGGATAGTCTCCTGTAGAGAGGGAACAAGAAAATAAATAAGCGGGCGTTTCAAACCAAGTCCTCGAGTGCGCAGACCGGCCGTGGAGCCGCGGGAGCAGGGCGGGCAGTCCGGGACCAGCGCGGGGCTCCGCCCGCCGGGGGGCGCGGGGCGGCGGGCGCGTGCGCGTGCGCGGTGCAACCCCAGCCCTGGCCGCCGCCGCCCGCCGCCGCCGTCGCGATGCCTATTTTAGTCAAAGCGGCTGCGGGCGTGGGGACCCGGCCCGGGCTGCGGAGCTTCCGGACCCGCGGACTCGCCGAGGAGCGCGCGTCCGACACCCGTCGAACCGCTGAGCCCGTGTCCCCCGAGTCCCGCGCTCCGAAGCTGCCGCTCCGAACTTTGGTCGGTGCAGCCCAGGTTCCTCGCCGAGGACCAGCCAGGTAAGGATGGGACGCGCCGCTGCCGCCTGCTGTCCGCCCGCTGTCCGCCCGCGCCGGGCTGTGTGCGGCCTCGCGCTCCGGTGGCTAAATCGAGAAGCGAAAGTTGGATCTCGGCCCCTCCGGGAACAACTTTGCCGTCCCGGGCGGCGACTGCCTGTTCTCCGCGGCCGGGGGCGCCGCCCTCTGCCCCTCCTCGCTGGCCGCGCCCTCGCGGGACTCTAGACCTTTGGGGGCCGCCCTTCTCCCCGGGTCTGAGCGCCGCGGCCATCGAGACCCTCAAGGATCGGCGGCCGCCGCTTGGTCAGGCAGCCCCAGCGCCCCCGGGCCCTCGGCCCCACCGAGTGCTGGCTCCCGCGCTCTGCGGCGGCAAGCCCCTTGGTGAGCTCGGCCTCTGCTCTCTCCGCCCGGTCCCGGGGTTCCTCCTCGCCGCCTGTAGGGCCGCTGCGTCCCGCGCGGAGGCTGCGTGCAGCCAGGCGCACGGTGTCGCCCACCCCGTCCCCTGTCCGAGTTTGGGGTGGGTCACGGGGCTCACTCCTCACCCCCGCGGCCCGAGAGCTCCTGGCCTAGAAGGACTGTCGCCGCGGACCCTCCTCCTAAGGAGCGAGGTCAGAGGGTCTCCGGAGACCACACATGGCTGGGGACCCGAGTGCGCGCCGCCCACTCGCAGCCTCCTTCCCCGAGCCTTTGGGAACCGGTTGTTGGCCAGGTAAGTCCCAGAAACTGCGTGCTTTGAAGCATGAATAAGTGCTAAAAGACTAAGCAATGTAATGCCATTTGCCATTCGGAAGATGTGCGAAAATTCAGTTAGAATTAGAGAATGAATTAAGCCGATTAGCAAGACTTTTGCTCGTTGCAGTTATCTTTTTCCTTTTTTTAGTTTGGTAAAGGTTTAATGTAAGTTTCAACATTTAGCTATTTAGCCCTGCAATCACCTTTTTGAAAACCAATAAACAGAACTTTATTAGTATAGGTAATTTAAGGACGTAAACTTTCATGACCTGATGAGGGATACATAATTTCTCTTGATTTAGTCAAAATTAATCTGAAGGTTGACCAATTTACCAGTCTAACCTTTCCCTTTCCACCTATTCTCTGTATAAGGATGGTTCAGTGTAAGCTGCTAAACGATTAAGTGGAAATCAAAATAAACTGATCTGATCAATATTTTCGACAATAGGTTAACTGGCATTTCACGGTAGACAATTATATAGATATATAGATACATCTGTATGCCTTTACGTCTATCTGTACAGATATATATATTTCTAATAAGGTGTGATGCTTCAAAACATCTTTAGGATGATCCTACCTTCTAAAAATTGCTAATAATATTTCTGGTTCTTGGGTCAGTAATTGTAGTTTTCCTGTCATTTTTCTTGGACCAGAAATTGGTAGTTTTCATGTCATTTTAAGAACTTCTAAAAACCTGATACTGAATTATAGTGGATTAGTAGGCAGTACAGGTGAAATTGGGTGGATTCGAGGGGGAATATGGATTGATTGATTATGTAAATATGTATTAAACCATAGGCTATTAAAACTTTAAAGAGTTTTAAAGACGATCTAGTTTAGCTGCCCCATTCCAAGGAAGAAACAGACCCGAGGAGCAGAAGCGACTTTCCCTGGCTTATGTGGCTCCCTGGTGGCTTGTGGTATAGAACCTGACTCAACCTCAGGAAGGCTAGGCACTCTCCTATCTTTATTACTGAGATGTAGGGGGACTGCACAGTCTAAAAGTGTTTGTCATGTTGAGATTCCTTCAGAGTGGCTTTCCTCTCTGCTTCAGTGGCCTTCTCTACAGAGGCTAAGCCTTGGAAGTACATGAATAAATAGTGTTCCTGCCTCATAGAGGACAAAGGGTAGTTAGGACAAACAGGACAATGGGAGTGTAGATACATTCTACAGTGCTGTCGAAATGGTAGTTATTATTAACCTATGCAATGCTAGGGTAGGTGATGTTAGGTTATGAGTGATAGAGGACACTTCATATTGTTCTCTGTCCTGCAGAAGTTATGAGATTCATTCTCATTTGGTCCTGAAAAGCAAATTTTGTATAAATGGAGTTATTAAAATAATAATCTTCCCTCCATCCTGATAGGCTTATGTATTTAATGATTTCAGACATTTGGAAAACAGGTGAATTTTTGTTTCTTTTTGTAGGAAATCAATATCTAAGTCAACTATTACTGTTATATTTATGAGCTATTTCAGAATTGTGTAAAAAGATCTTCAGTTGACTTGATCATTTCATTCACAATTTGTAAATTGGTGTGTTTTTTTTTTTTAAATCATCTTTAAGGTATGAAATTCTTTCAGATTTGTCTGTTAACGTCCTTTCAAAGTACCCATTTTGTACCAATTAATTATTCTACTACCTAAAACCTTTACTTTAGTATATTGAGAATAAGCAATAGAAAAGTAAGATTAATTGCATGACCTTATTTTGAAAGAAATACATATTTCTAAATTTAAATATATTTAGGGTTCCCGTTTGGAATTTTCCTGAAACAGAATAATTCATATATCTGGTAAACCTTCATAGTGTTTGGCCAGGACCAAATTTGTGTAAATAATAATAGAGTTATTTGTAAGGACCAGAGACTGAAGACAGGTAACACGGGAAATGGTTTTATATAAGCATGTGTAAAATGTGTATTCTTTAAATGTACTTGCTATGGATTTTTATATGTATAAGTAAACCAGAAGTTTACTGCTTTTTAATTTGTGATATGCTACCAACTAGAATTATTATGGGAAATAAAGTAGAGATTTAAATTAGGCAATAAAAGAAAGTTTCATGTTGTATCTCCCATGTATATATAAATGTTTATATGGCTATATATTATTTGCATGTATGATAATGTATTATGTATGTATGATACAGTGATTTAATGGTGATATAAAATAGAGACTTCTAAATATACTAAGCTTTCAAATAGATGTGAGAGTATTAATATTTTTTAAGTATTCAAATAATTAGTTTTCTAGTTATTTTTCCTGTGTTTGGATTCAGTCACCAGTGGGAATATGATGGAAGACCAGACTAAATAACTTTGTAATTACTGTGGTTTATGAACATTGGTGATTGTTTTAAAGACTAATTAATTCCCTCACTCCTCCCTTCTCTACAAGTCGGTATATGTATATTTGTGCTTATGAGGGAATAGTTGTACCCTATGCTAAGTATTTTATGTATTTTATTTCATTTAATCATAAGGCAAATGAGATATTATTATTATCCTTTAACAGGTAAGGAACTGAATACATTTAATATGTGACAGAGTTGGGATTTGAATCTGGATCTGTTTAATTCATAAGGACTGGAGAAGTCTGTTTAATTCACAGAAATAATTTTGGTATAATACCTATGGAAGTAATAAGATATAGTTGCCATTTTTATGATTTTACTTTTGTCTACTTGTTTTTACAGGAATTTTCAAAATGAATTATACAGAGTCCAGCTCATTGACGGAATCAACTGCCATAGGTTTTACACCTGAGTTAGAAAGTGTCATACCCGTGCCTTCCAATGAGACCACTTGTGAAAACTGGAGAGAGATACATCATCTGGTTTTTCATGTAGCAAATATTTGTTTTGCAGTTGGGTTGGTTATTCCAACAACTCTTCACCTTCATATGATATTTCTTAGGGGAATGTTAACTCTAGGTAAGACACCTCACTGATATTTTATGTAACTTTTCTGTAACTGACATCAGATGGGCTTTGCACTGAGGGCTTCAGGGTATTCTTTGTCAGGTCCATAGCAAGCCAAAAAACCTAAGTCTTCGTTACTGAATTGGCAGTATATCAGTTAGCTTAGAGCATAGACCTTCATATGCCATATCTCTCCCTTACTTACTTTGTTTATGTGTGCTTTCACATGTTGTTTAGGTTTTCCAGATATCAAAAAATTCATTCATGTGTAAGCGTATGAACTTTAGAGCTAAATTATGTGATTCAAAAACTGGTTCTACTACTTGCTAACTATGTAACTTGGGCAAATGATGTAATCTTTCTATTGCCTCAGTTTCCTTATTTATCAGATAAGGGTAAAAATAATACCACCTCCCAAAGTTGTTGTGAATTAAATGTGTGTCATATATATTTTTAACTTGGAATATTGCCTGCTCATAGTAAGTACTGTGTAGTTTTAACTGCTATTTCTTGAAAAGATATTTGCTATGGGCAGTAAAGAAACATTGGGAACAAAAACAATTACCTAGATATAGTAGTTCAAACAAAACTATTTTTTTTTTTTTTTTGGTCCCTGTAACCCTGATGAAGCAAGTTAAATTGATTCACATCAGAATATTAAAACAATTGAATCTGTTACTTTAGCCAGTGATTCTTGACACATTACTAATGTGATTATTTCCTTGATGACTCATTTATTCAGATCATTTTTGAGTACCTGTGATGTGTCAGACAAAGACTGAGGAAGGCTGACTTCATCCTTGAGAAAGACACTCTAATGGGGGCTGGCAGAGAAACAGATGGGCAATCCCAGTATGGTGTATCGGATGCTGGGATGCAGGCGTGCACCCATTATCCAGGGGGACATGGAAAAGGTGATAGGCTCAGTAGGAAGGCAGAGCAAGGTCTCTCTGAGGAGGTGACATGGGACCTGGATTTTGGAAGGTGAGCAAGATTTCTCTGAGTGAGCATGTGCGATATCCAAGCAAAGAGCACAGAAGAGGAGGAAATTGAGCTTATTGGGGTGAACGTGGAATATCACATTGTGCCTAAAAATTTATGATAAATGGGCTGGGCACAGTGGCTCATGCCTGTAATTCCAGCACTGTGGGAGGTTGAGGCAGGCAGATCACCTGAGGTCAGGAGTTCTAGACCAGCCTGGCCAAAATGGTGAAACCCTGTCTCTACTAAAAATACAGAGATTAGCCAGGCGTGGTGGCAGGCATCTGTAATCCCAGCTACTCGGGAGGCTGAGGCAGGAGAATCACTTTAACCCAGGAGGCAGAGGTTTCAGTGAGCCGAGATCGTGCCACTGCACTCCAGCCTGGCAACACAGCGAGACGCCGCCTCAAAAAAAAAAAAAAAAAAAGTGATAAATGACAAGGAAGAAGAGGCTAAAAGGTTAGGAGAAGCTTGTGGACCTCTGTGGTGTGTGACCTGTGGGTAAGGTGAGGATTGCAATAGGAGGAGCAGGGAGTTGAATGGAAAAAAAAGAAAAAAAACACTGTATCCTATAAAAAAAACAAAAATCAATTATGAATTTTAAGACAGAGCTGTGGAGGTAGAGTTAACCAAAGATATTATCAAATCTAACACTTTATTCTGTAAATGTAGAAAGAGAAACCTAGGCCAGGCATGGAGGCTAACACTTATAGTCCCAGCACTTTGGGAGGCTGAAGTGGGAGGATCTCTTGAAGCCAGTAGTTCAAAACCAGCCTGGGCAATGTAGTGAGACCCTATGTCTACAGAAATTTTAAAGATTAGCTGGGCATGGTGGCATGTACCTGTGGTCCCAGCTATTTGGGAGGCTAAGGTGGGAGGACAGCTTGAGCCTGGGATGTGAGGCTGCACTACATCATGTTGCTACTGCTGCACTCCAACCTGTGTAACAGAGCAAGACCCTGTCTCAAAAAAAAAAAAAAAAAAAAAAAAAATAAACAAATAAATTAAAAAAAAAAAAAAAAAAAAAAAAAAGAAATCTAAACAAGTAAAATGACCCATCCAAAATTAAGATGGAGAAAAAATGGCCAAACCAGAACTATAATTCAGGTCCTCCGGTTTTTCTCCATCCTCTCATTATGTACCCTGTCTCTTTTAAATTAAAATATTTTAAATTGCTTCACTACTTGCTATGAAATATTACTTAAAGAATCTTTAAATTTTTACATTTTGGGCTTTATTGAGGTACCTCAAATCATTCTTATGAAATAAAAAATTGTAAGTGAGTAACTTTTAAAGTGGGAGGTTAGCTTTTGTGTGCATGTGTCAGTGATCTATATCTTAATGATGCTTTATTTTAAATATATGTACTGTATTAACTCTCCTACCATAAAATTGATCAAAAGAAACTGGGGATATTTTATATAAGGTAAGAGAATTGATAAGAAAACACAGGAAGATTCTCAGAGATGAATGGATAATCACCAAGAGAAAATTCAAATGGCTAAAACATTTTGGTAAAATATGCAGCCTCTCTGCTGGTAGTGACTTACTGTATTAGTTAAAAAATAAAAAAATAAAATAAAATAAAATATGCAGGCTCACCAGTAATCATGGAAATGCAAAATAAAATATAATACATAATTTCTCACTATCAAATTAGGAGTTTTCACATCTTATGATGCAGCCATGCGTTGTATAATGAAAGTGTTCCCGTAAGATTATAGTACCACGTTTACCTTTCCCATATTTAAATATACAAATACTTACTATTGTGTTACAGTTGCCTGCAGTATTCAATATTCAATACTACTGTATTCAAACTGTACTGTATTAGTTTATGCCCTATAGTGTAGTAGACTGTGCCATCTGAATTTATGTAAGTATACTCTATGATGTTCGCACAGCAACAAAATCATTTAACAAAACATTTCTCAGAACATAACCCTGTCATTAAGCAACACGTGCCTATGCTGACAACTTGATACTGGCATTTCTAACTAGTAGGATTGCAAATTTGTACAAAGCTTTTGGGAAACAATTCTTCAATATTGTAAAATTACTATAAAGTTCATTCCCTAGATTCACCTTCGGGGTAATCCAGACTAAGTAAACAATCACGAGTACAGAAAAATTTGTATGTATAAAATTTTCTGCTTGTCGGAAATTATACCCACAAAATCTTGTCTTTCCAGCAATTGGGGGATGGTTAAATAAATTATAGTTTAATCAGTTACGGTCATTTAAAATTGTACTTTCAAAGAGTGTAATGAAATGGGAAAATCACTGCAATTAGTTAAAAAGGAGATTTTAAAATATTATATGTGTTAGATTTGCCATCAGGTAAAACTGCATGAAAACTATAAGGCAGAATTAAATTATTTGGTATTTAATGGCTTTCTTTAAGTAGTAGAATTATGAAATTTTCCCCTTTAAAAATATTTTTTGTACTTTGTATTTCTAGTATATTTTTTATATAGATTTTATGCAACAAAGGGTATATTTGGGTTTTTTTATTACCAGACAAAAACCAAAATGAAACAATGTGATAATTGGCTTAGCTAGTTCTAAAATGTGTTTGATTTTCAGTAATCCCCACATCCGTGGATTCACTTTCTGTGGTCAACTATAGTCTAATAATATTAAATGGAAAATGCCAAGAATAAACAATTTATAAGTTTTAAATTGCAAGACACCCTGAATAGTGTGATTAAATCTTGTACTGTCCTGCTGTATCCTGACTGGAATGTGAATCATCCCTTTGTCCAGCTTATCCCCACTATCTGTGTTATCTACCCAGTAATCGCTGAGTAGCTGTCTTGGGTATCAGATCAATGAAACACAGTGTTTATAGAGTTGTGTACTATCCATGGGTTCAGGTTTCCACTGGGGGTATTGTAAAGTATCACCTTCAAAAAAGGGATGACTACTATATAGACAGGATATCAAATTTATTAAGCTCCCTGCTTAAGCTCTTCTGGACATCTAACATGTTAACCGTGTTCTTCAACAGGATGTACACTTTATATTGCCTGGGCCACTCTCTACCGATGTGCCTTGGATATAATGATCTGGAATTCTGTGTTCTTGGGTGTCAACATTTTGCATCTGTCATATCTTTTATACAAGAAGAGACCGGTAATTACTAAAATTAATTAATAAGGAAGTGATTTTAAAGCTAAAACTTTGAAAGATACTTTGTTCAGATTTAAGAGTAAGAATCTACCATATTTAGCCCCTTTAATATCATTTCTCTGAAGATTAGACTTTCTGTTTACATGTGCTTAAAAGTGAAACATTTTAGTACCATGAAATTTGTTCTACAAATGAGTTTTTAAAACTTTAAAAATTATTAGCATATGAGAGAATGTGAATAATGTTCTCCTTTTTAAGTCATATTACTTGATTTTTTTAATATTGATATTCAGATGTCACTTGGAAATATTTCCCATTTATAAAATTACTAGCAGGCAACTTGTGTAAACATTCTATGATTTACAAATAGTTCATGTTGTTTTTTAGTGTAATAACTATTATTTTTTCTAATACCCAAAATATTCATTTAAGGAAGTCACCATATTTGGTAGGTTGCTACCAAAACACTCATCTTTAACTTTTACTTTTCAACTCTGATTTATCTTGTTGTATTCCTTGATCATATCAAGAACAAAAATAGAGTAGGAAAACAACAGGGTTCCTAGAAATCACTCTGTATATATTACTGATTTTCCTAAGCACAAGCAAGCATTCAGTAAAGTAAAAGATCCAGCGCTTGCCTTAATCTTATGTTTGGGGTCAGATTTGCATGTAGAAAACTATTGGGAAACAAACTATTGGAAAACAATTCATAGAAAATTATAATTTGAATAATAGATGATGTATAATAGGCATTCAACTATACTGTAACCTTGTCAAACATAGTGACTCAGTCTGTGTTGTTTTACCGTATTAGTCAGTTTTCTCTAGATTATGCTATGTAATAAGTCTCAGTGATATGTGACAGCAAATGGGCTTTTTTTCTCACTCACCTTGTATCTTGACTCTGGCAGCTGTGTGTCAGCTGTGATTCTGTTCTATGCATCTCATTCATTGCAGGGTTTATGCTGAAGCAGCAGTTTCTGTTTGGACCATGCATTCTCATAGCAGAGGGAAAAGTACTAGAGAGCAAAAGAGAAACACCCAATGTCTCTTAAAACTTTTGCTCAAAAGGGACACATTGTTTCTGCTTACATTTCATTGGCTAAAACAAATGACATGGCCAAGTTTGATACTTTGGGGCATGGGGTGGAATAAGGGCTTGTACAGTCCTCTTACAGAGGTTGGGAACAGTGAATAATTGGGAACAATAATCTAACACAGTTGCTGCTGTATCTCCTTTTCCTATCAACCTTGATTGGCACACAGTAGGTGCTCAGAAAAACCTTTGATGAGTAGATGCTTTCAAAGAAGGTAAGAATTAGGCCAGGTGCAGTGGCTCATGCCTGTAATCCCAACACTTTGGGAAGCCAAGGTGGATGGATCACCTGAGGTCAGGAGTTTGACACCAGCCTGACCACATGGCAAAATCCTGTGTCTACTAAAAAATACAAAAATTAGCTGGTGCACAGCTGTAGACCCAGCTACACAGGAGGCTGAGGCATGAGAATCGCTTGAACCCAGGTGGCAGAGGTTGCAGTGAGCCAAGATCGTGCCACCGCACTCTAGCCTGAGTGACAGAGCGACACTCTTGTCTCAAAAAAAAAAAAAAAGAAAAAAAATTAAGAGGGCTTCATGAGGCTGGGCACCATGGCTCATGCCTGTAATCCCAGCACTTTGGGAGGCCCAGGCTGGAAGATCACTTGAGATTAGGCGTTCGAGACCAGCCTGTGCAACATAACAAGACTCCATCTCTACAAAAAATTTAAAAATCAGCTGGGTACGGTAGCACACACCTGTAGTCCAAGCTTCTTGGGAGGATCACTGGAACCCAGGAGTTTGAGACTGCAGTGAGCTATGGTCACATCACTTTGCTCCAGCACAGGCAACAGAGTGAGACTCTGTCTCCAAAAAATAAATACATAAAGAGGGCTTGATCTGAAAGTTATAGGATGAGCAGATTATGAATAAATCATTCTAAATGGTCATTACTGGAGCTTTGGAGTGGAAGAGGTAGATAATAATAATGATTACATTTTCTGAATGTCAGAACTTGCTGGAACTCTAAAATATAAGGATCAGAAGTTGCCGATGTGATCATAGCACCAAATAGGTAAATCACTTAGTATCTGTGCTTTTGTTTCTTCTCATACTATAAATTTACTTTTTTGAAAAATATAAATGCTGGATTTTCCTCAAAATGAAACAGCAGGACAAGTTGGAGTATTGCAAATGCTAGAGTGACATCAGGTTGAAGCAGCTGTCATGATCTGGGCCTATAGGCTTCATGTCGTGCCTGCCAGAGATATAGTGCATTATGGTTTTCCATCTACCCAATTAGTGTGACTTCGAGAGACTAATGCTGGGCCCAAAGATGGCGCATGACCTGTGCTTTGGAGAATCTGACAACAAAAATGATTAAGCCATTTTGCTTTTCTCTTCCTCCAGTAGCCAGCCTTATTTGCCAGTGGATTCTCCATTTTACAGTTAATTTTAGCTTAGGATGAAACTTCTACACTAAAACTCTTTTATACCCTTTTATTTTCCTTCACTTTGCTTGAGAGTACGTAAATATAAAGCAGTGATTGCAGCTGTGCTTGTGTGTTTTTCTGTATTGGTGCATTAAGTAATTACATGGAGATAAAATGCTTAAAGTATATGTCACTTGTATAAATTTATTTCCTCATCACTTCCTATTTTGTGTATTTATTTTCTTGCTGCCATATTTAAAAGTTAGTCTAATTTTTTTCTGTGTGAAGTAGGTTTTACAGAAAATGTTTTCTGTTATTTATAGAAGGGACTAAGATTTGGAAGGTGAAGGTGGTGACAACATTCAAAACCTAAACAGTTGGATTATAGCTCATAGGAAGAGATTATGAGCCATAGAGTTATGATCTACTGTGTAAGATCCTTCCCTTACACAGTGAGTTCAGTTTAACTGCAGAAGTTTTTTTTATTTTTTTATTTTTGTTTTTTGACACAGAGTCTTACTCTGTTGCCCAGGCTGGAGTGTGATGGTGCAATCCTAGTTGACTACAGTCTCAAACTCCTGGGCTCAAGTAACCCTCCCACCTCAGCATCTCAAGTAGCCAGGACTATAGGTATACTCCACCATGGCTGGCTAATTTTTTTTCTTTCTTTCTTTCTTTTCTTTCTTTTTTTTTTTTTTTTTTTTTTTTTTTTTTTTTTTTTTTTTTTTTTTTTTTTTTTTTTTTTTTTTTTTTTGAGGCAGAGTTCACTCTTGTTGCCCAGGCTGGAATGCAATGGTGCGATTTCAGGTCACTGTAACATGTGCCTCTCAGGTTCAAGCAGCTCTCCTGCCTCAGCCTCCCAAGTAGCTGGAGTTACAGGTGTATGCCACTACACACGGCTAATTTTTTGTATTTTTAGTAGAGACGGAGTTTCACCATGTTGGTCAGGCTGGTCTCAAACCTCTTACCTCAGAAGATCCACCTGCCTCGACCTCCCAAAGTGGTGGGATAACAGATGTGACCACTGAAAGTGCTGGGATTACAGGCATGACCACCACGCCTGGCTTTTTTTCTAAGTAGAGTTAGAACCTCACTGTGTTCCCCAGGCTGGTCTCAAACTCTTGGCCTCACATGATCCTACCACCTCAGCCTCCCAAAGTCCTGAAATTACAGGCATGAACCACCTCGCACAACCTAAATGTACACTTTTAGCATCTAAAGCACAAACTTTTATCACCATTTACTTGCTGTGTAAGGTTCTGTTAGCCTAAATACAGAAGGTTGATGGTATATATCAAAGATTTGTTTGTTCTCAAAACCATATTTAGACCTCAGAAGTCAGTATGTTGGGGTTGCTGCTGCATTGGTACAGCATCTAGTCCTTGGTGCATTTCAGGTAAAGATTGAAAAGGAACTCAGTGGCATCTACCGGCGATTGTTTGAACCACTCCGTGTGCCTCCAGATTTGTTCAGAAGATTAACTGGACAGTTTTGCATGATCCAAACCTTGAAAAAGGGCCAGACTTACGCTGCAGAAGATAAAACCTCAGTTGATGACCGTCTGAGTATTCTCTTGAAGGGGAAGTAAGTGTTCTATGGAAATCAAAATTCCTAGTTTACCTTTCATCTTTTCATGGCCTCTGGGAAGGAAATGAATGGAAGAAAATGTTGCTAGTGAATTGAGGAAGCAGTCACAGGGTTTGTTGTTGGTGAAATTTATGCTATAACTACACTTTCCAGTGCTGTAGAGCAACGTATTGAAGCCAGGTTGAATGTACTGCTCTGAATCTTGATGTCAGGATTTTCAGTTGCAAGATTTTAACCATTTTTGACCTTTTATTAAAAATTAATGAGTCAAAATTGAAGTGGATTTAAATTAGACATTGAAATTCAAAAAGCTTATACATGCATCAGAGTTTATTTGTCTTGAATATCACAGAAGTATAACTTCTAGGAATATCAGCCTTCTGGGGAGAGAGCCAGTTTCTGTGTTGCGCTGGCATTGTTATTAATGATACCTCTTTCTCTCTCAGCAGTATCCCAGCTTGAGTAACAAATTATATAGTCACTTCCTTTATAAGGGCAATAATAACCACTAGACGACATATGTCTGTCTCAATACTGGACAATGCTTTTTTCTAACGTTAGTTTTTGAAATACTTGTGCCTAAAGAGGTGCTTTTAGTTATGTCCATCATCTGTGGAATTTAAAAAACTTTACTACAAATCAAAATTGCATATGATGATAGCAGTTTTAAGAATTATCATGTTATTTGTGAAATAGTGCCTTTATTAACATTAATTTCTGTTATCAGAATGAAGGTCTCCTATCGAGGACATTTTCTGCATAACATTTACCCCTGTGCCTTTATAGATTCTCCTGAATTTAGATCAACTCAGATGCACAAAGGTGAAAAATTCCAGGTATGTTTTCACATGATTTTTAAGGAGATTGAAACTAGCTTGTATCTCACTCAAAGTCCAAAGGATAGTAACAGAAACACAGCTATGAGCTACTGGGGAAAAAAACAAGTTGCCATAAGGCATGTATAATATTACCCCATTTAAAAAAAAAAACATTTTATTTATTTATTTTTTTTTTTTGAGACGGAGTTTCACTCATGTTACCCAGGCTGGAGTGCAATGGTGCGATCTCGGCTCACCGCAACCTCCGCCTCCTGGGTTTAGGCAATTCTCCTGCCTCAGCCTCCTGAGTAGCTGGGATTACAGGCACGCACCACCATGCCCAGCTAATTTTTTGTATTTTTAGTAGAGATGGGGTTT